TGTGTGTATATATATATGTGTGTGTGTGTATTTATGTATGTATGTGTATGTGTGTATATATATGTGTGTGTGTGTATTTATGTATGTATGCGTATGTGTGTATATATATATGTGTGTGTGTGTATTTATGTATGTATGCGTATGTGTGTATATATGTGTGTGTGTGTGTATTTATGTATGTATGCGTATGTGTGTATATATATATATATGTGTGTGTGTATTTATGTATGTATGCGTATGTGTGTATATATATATATGTGTGTGTGTATTTATGTATGTATGCGTATGTGTGTATGTATATATATGTGTGTGTGTATTTATGTATGTATTCGTATGTGTGTATATATATATGTGTGTGTGTGTATTTATGTATGCGTATGTGTGTATATATATATATATGTGTGTATTTATGTATGTATGCGTATGTGTGTGTATATATATATATATATATATATATATATATATATATAAATGCCATTTCGGGTTCTAAACCCGAGTCTCACTTTCTTGCTTTAAAATGGGGGCAGGGGGTGAGAATTAAGTCAATGCTACGCATGAACCACTTAGCACAAGCCCCAAGGAGCCCTTCCTGAGTCTTCTGCTGTTAAAGCCGACATCCCCACAGCCCACCTGCTCTTTTCCAGCTTGCTTTTTTTTTTTTCAACATAATGATTTTTTATTGATTATTTGGGGATTTCACACCCTGCATCCCAATCACACTCACTTCCCAGTCCTCCCAGGTCTCCCCTCTCCTGTGACTTTCCCCAAATGAGGATGAAGATGAAGAGGAGGAGGAAGAGGAGGAGGAGGAGGAGGAGGAGGAGGAGGAGGAGGAGGAGGACACAGGCCCAATTTCTGTTGCCTATATCACACTGGAGCATGGTCAAGCTCTCAGTTGCCACCCCTTTAAAGAAAACTGAGTCCTTCCCCACCCACAGCCCTGCCAGGAGCCCTCAATTCTGGAGAGCTATACACTTCAGCATCCTTATCACAGTTTTTAAGGTTATCTTCAACGGCTTCCTGTCTAGGCTGTTAATCTTGGGGTGGGGTGGTGGTGGCAGGGGTTGTCACCAAAGCCTTCTATGTCTCTCATTTTCAACTGTAAGTCTGCAGTCATCAATGCTACCAAGGACATCCACATGGTCTCCAGGGTCAGCATATGCCACAGATCTCAACAGGGTCTCTGGTGGCAGTACAGACCGCAGACATCATCAGGGCCTTCTGCCGAAGCACAGGCCATGGACACCATCATAGTGCTCAGCAGCAGCACAGGTCAAGAACATCAACACAGCTTCAGGGCAGCACTGACCAAGGACATCAATACGGTTCCCAGGAAAGACAGGCCCATGAACACCAACACGGCCTCAGGTGGCAGTACACGCCACCCACATCAGCATGGCCCCCAACAGCATGGCCCAGGGATATCAACATGGCCTCAGGTGGCAGTATAGACCGTGGATATTCGTATGGCCTTTGGTGGTAACACAGGCCACAGACATCAAAACAGCCCCAGGCTGCAGTAGACCGTGGACCCAGACATGGCCCTGTGTGGTTCCTTCTTGTTTCACTAGACCTAGTTCTTCCTGCTTCATCTGCTCCTGCTCCCAGCAATGGTTTTTTCCAGTGCACTGCTGGGTCCCCTACTTTTCATCCCTGTTCTTTGGCCTCTCCGTGAGCTCCATAGCTTCTCCCCTCTGCTGGACCCTTTGGTGACATGTCTCTGGGGGTCAGTCTTCGGCAGCCCATGGGGCCTTTATAGCTTAATTTTCACACCGACTAATAATTATTTATTTAGCTATTTATTTATTTTGCATTGCATGTCTACAAACACAGACAGCTCAATCTCAGTAGACAAGAAACAGAGTCCCTTACTCCTCACACCCCGTAATGGCCTGACTTTAGAGAATTCCACCCTGCCTACCAGAGACCCTCATCAGCAACTTGGTCAGAGTGGGTAAGTAAAACAAGAGCAAATGAGGGACAGGTAAATACAGCCAAGGAAAACCGCTGGCTCTTAGCATCTCTCTCTGAGCACCTCACCAGGCTTTGCACACGTGGTTGCTACCCTCAGTCGTCTTCCCACACACAAGGAACTAACTTCACTGATGAGACTGCTAAGGTGGCAAAGGGGTTAGTCACCTTACCTCTCTCCTCCTCTCACCCAAACGGAAGGAATGGGATGCTTATTTGTTGATTTCCAAGAGAAAAGTTGCCTGAAAACCCTTAGCCTCCTGCCTCTCCACAGGACAGAGGATATGAGTTACTGGTAAAGGATATGCCTGTGTGTCTGAGTCTTAACCCTTCATCGCCTCCCAGAACATGTGTATGGAGCTAGGTTGGCGGCCTGAAAGGAGGACAAACATAAATTAGACAGGATGGTTCAGAAGAGTGCAAGCCTAGGGAGCTGCCTGACCTCAAGCACGGGGTGGTCTCAGAAGAGGGCAGCCTTGGTGGAGTTCAACAACTCATGGAGGAGGCTCCCACCCTGAGGAACTAGAGCTACTCCCTACCCAGGGTGGGCGAGTATGCCCACTTCTGGGGCCCAGCGTTAGGGCATCTGTTATTCTTTATGATGCAAGCCTCATCTTTCAATCATCACTCCTCAGAAATAAAGCTGAAACTTTAAATATTTTAAAGCTCATTCTTTAGACAGTGAAAATAACTTCTATGATCTTTATTTGGCTTGTTTTCTTCCCCTTCTCACCTCTATTTACTCCTAGTTTTCTTGTTGCTGAAAACCTTAAAAACGAGATTGAAAAGACTGCCAACTAGTGGGACTTCTCAGCATCCCACTGTGTGTCAGTACATACACTGCCACAGAAATGAAACCAGTTCTGGGTGTGGAGCGGTGGTGGCTGGAGGTCCTGTTGTATTGTCTCAGTGAAGATGTACATCTCATGTGTCTGCAGAGTGACAGCGGGGCCTCCAGGAAAGCCTGTGTGAACCTGACTGCAGGCTTTACTGCAGGTCTTGGAGGTTTTTCCAATGTGTCCTTTGTGTCACCAGGCATGAAGTTCGAGTTAATATGAGATTTACTTAGGAGAAAAAAAATTATTGGCAGTTTAGGACACCCAGAACAGTCTACATTAAAATTAAATGCCCACTGAAGAGTCACATGGAAGTACCCTCGTGCCACATTTCCATAACAGCACAAAAATAGACAAAATATCAAAACCTCACAGCATCTACTGCCAAGAAAGTAGCCTGCCCATTTTTCATTCTGAAGTCCAAGTTTCATCCTATCACAGCTATTTTTA